TGGCGTTTCGGGTTCTCTGTGGAGTGAGTCCCAACTCCCTTCGCGACAGTAGTGTTCACTTTCTCGTCAACTCTTCATCTACTGGCTAATTCAATCATTTTTAAGAATTAGTGATGAGAGCATGGCTAGCGTTGAGTGGACTTTTGTTAAAGTGTGTGGAATTTCCGTACCAATTAGTTTTCCTGTTACCATTCACCTATTTGGATGTGTTTGGAGGATGGAAAACTCCTATCGGCTTAAGCACCTTCCACTAGCAATCTTTAGAGGGGCTAACAGTCCTGCAAAACTCTGCAAAATGGTACTGAATTTCGATTGAGGCATGGAACTGGGTGAAGTCAACAAATGTGGTTGAGAGCGTCTTCAACGCAGTTTTTGGTGTGATCAGAATACGTGGTGGCAATGGTTCCCACAAAGGTTGGTTAGAGGACTCGCAAACTTGTTCAAATTTCCACTCATTTACTCGCGAATTGCACAGTTAGTGGTGGAGGAGACACAGAATGATCTCCTACTTTGGGCAACTGAGCCACTGGTTCTTCGACTTTGCCGCTGAAATTTGGTCAGTATTTGCTATATTCACTGGAGAAATGACAACTTTTGGCTTTTTCCATTTATTCTGTCCCACTTATCACCAACTAAAGGCAAATGCAATGAGTAATTAGGCCATTTTAGTAACATTTTGAATTGATTTTCCTCGATACCTCCTCTGCTGTCACTTGTTGGTCATAACTTCGTCAATTTCGACTTCTTGATCAGCAGTAGCCTTCATTTTTGCAGGATCGTATTCTGTGCCTCCCATCATGTCCACCCTCTGCACGAGAGCAAATGTTGTGTAGAAAGCAAAGGAAGCTCAATTTCCCAAGTCCGGTTTGGGACCGCTGAGCGTGGACATTAAATCCTCTGCACGAGATGGCGCGATGGTAAACATGTCTGGAGGATAAAGAGTTTATGAATCCAGATAACTAAAATGGGCAAACAGATATTTAATTCCTTCCAAGTGGATTTCGCCACTGGGGTCACAAACCAAGGACAAGCCTTGGTAAAGTAATCGTTATAATGCCAATTTTCAAAACGTTTTGAATCGCAATTGGTAAGGCATTTAAAATTTACACAAAGGAAGTACAAATGTTTGAGAAATGTAAGACCGGATGTGGATGCGAGAACCATTGCCCATCAGAATTGCGATGAAGGAGGAATTTGCAACGACGGTTAGTCAGTTTTGTATGCAAGCAATGTCTTACAGATCTCACGAGCTCACTGGTGGGTTATGACACTTATCACTTCCACAATGCCGCTACTGCTACGTCAGCTTTCTATTTGAAATGGCACATCTGCTTTCTGCTTCCTCCACGACACTCATTTCTACCTGATCAAGGAGGAGGGGTAGAAGCATTCTCTAGCCTAGGAAGCAGCACGATGCATTCGATGAGGCTTTTGCGACTACAACACAAACATCCACTCTACTTCAAGGCGCAAAGCAAGGAAATTTTGGTCCTTTACACCGAACCCGGTATTTGGGAAGAGAACAAGTTCCGATAATAATTAAAATAGACGAATAAGGAGTTGTGGGGAGTTAACGAACTAATGAGGCAAAGTGCGTGATTAGGGAATTTTCCCACTAGCAAAAACTCCTTCACAAGTTAACATTTTGCTGTTGCTGTCCAAACTGTCATGTTTAACAATAAATCAAGTAGCGTTTAAGTTTATATACGCCTCAGGTCCGCTCATTTGATTTAAATTAGTTTTAGGATGAGAGTGAAGTTTGAAGCAAACGTCCTTCACTTTTAACCTAATCATTTTGCGTCATATTTTCTCCGATTCCAAATAAAATGATTCTAATTTTTGGAAGAGCGCTGAAGACTGTTATCAAGAAAAGCGATGATGCGAGACCAAAACTAAAGTATCAAAGACAATATCACAACATCAAGCGACCGCTCCTTATCTCGCACCTGATTATACGCTTGACTGGAAAGGAGATCGTTAATCGCCCAACCTTATTGCTCACATAAATAGCCTATGATGCCTTCTGCGTTTAAGCACTGACGACTCGACATCCGATCTTTAAAATGCATCTTAGTCAAGTGGCAGGTTGCGTCATCTCCCTTCTTAATCTTCGCAATTAATCTTATGGGAGTACAAGCTCATCGCTCTCATCACACTTGAGTAATCGTTTAATCCTGCTTGTACTACCCATACACGCGATTTTCGCCTAAATCTAAGCATCCAAGGTTGGACCAAGGAAACAATGAAAGGATTATCCAAAAGAGGTAACAAGTTTTTCTGTTAGATTTTTAAAAGAAGGACATTTGACTAGTGAACGGTCAAAAGAAAATCAATCTCGTTGGCTTTTATTAAACCGCGTGGAAGTACTAATAAGCTAAATTTTGCATCTTCATTCATATTGACATCACAAAGAGTTGGGCATACTGCAGTTTCAGACATCTCTGAATGAATCACCGAAGGGCAAACTAATAGCCCAACAAAAGCATAGAAATTCGAGTGAAATAGAAAATAAAAAAAATTTTACACATGTAAATAGTTAAAACAAACAATTCAATTTTTTGGTAGCAGATATTCTTTGCTTGTAAAAAGAATTCAGTAAGATGCATGAATTAGATCTGGAACACTTATTTGTCGATTCTCACTTTTGGTAATAGATGCACACAGAGATCGGGTAGTATAGCCCTACTTTAAAATCAAAGTAAGCAATATGGCTGCAGCGCCGTCTAAATTAGAAACGGCTTTATTTTACCACTAATTATTTTAATAGGGGTAAATCATTATTAAGAAGATGCAAAATACTAAGCCCTCTCCGCTTTCATATACAAATCACGAGGTGATTCAGAGTTGCTGTGTTCCTTAAATGCTTTAGTAGGTCAGCCCTTTAAAATCTGCAACTTTTCCTTGGCATACACTAAGGGTGTCAGTTATCCACAGATTCTAACTACGCGCTGATTATTATAAAGGTCATTTACTTGCAGGTGGTGTAGTTGAATATTTGATAGGCTGCAGCATTTACGATAAGTTATAATTAGAGCCTACGAGAAACAATTTACACTTTACAATTGTTTAAGTATGTTTCTTTAAGTCGCGTGTTGTCAGTATCTGTACCATCTATGCGGGAAGCTCAAAAAATCCCCACACCAGCTCCAAACGTAACAACTCAGTGAATAGCTCATTCATTTAAATTTTTTTGTCCTTAAGAACGAGATTTTAAAAAAAAATTGTTTTGGTTGTCTGACATACTAAGGAAAGTCGATTAAAGTCAAGCTTATAAATATCTATTTCCGACCAAATCGGTGATTGACAAAGGTCGTGCCTATTATACTGCGTAGACGGAAACTACCGTGCCAGAGCTTTCTGATAGAACATTCCTGTATAAAACTCCAGTTCATAGCGGTGTTATATACTTTTTATGAATCTTATTACTGACAACATTAATTTGCCTAAGCTTTTATTTCATTTTTACCTTTTGAATGATCTTCGAGCCATTTAAATCTTGTTCTTTATTAAGCCAATATCAGCTAAAGAATTTTTAGAGCTTTTCACATTCCTTCCAACCCTACGAAATGCCATATCTCATTCCATTTGTGCTACTGGTAACCTTATCCTCCTATAACTAATTACATCCAGAAAATTCCTTTTTATTTTTCCCAAGAAAATGAAAGGTCATTGCGAACAGACAAGCCTAACCAATTAGATGGTCCCCACACACGTCACTACTCACGTACACACACACTCGCCGGTCGTGTTCTGATTGGTTCAATGGGGGACTATAAAAGGTTATTACCCTACAGGTGATATACTCTAGCAATACCAACGGCTAATTGACCATGAATTCGAGGCTTATCCTCTTCCTCGCATGTCTCCTGTGCTGTTCTCTTGTTGCGGCTAGTGGCCATCAGTGGCTTCCCGTGGAAGAAATTATTGATGCTGAGCCAGACCACATATGTGGTCTGCATCCAGTGGATATCCTGATGTCCAGCCTTTTGCGAAACGCTCCCACCAATGACTCCTCAGGCATTCTCATGCTCAGCAATGCCATCACATCATTGTACCGCACCCAACCGAATTTTTATGCATTTCTGATGCGATGTACAACGGCTTGGAATCGGTGTCAGCGAGCCAAACCTTACGGCAACGAAAGGAGAGGAGCCGTGACACACGAGGAGCAGCCTTGGCAACTCGTATGTAATGCCGGTTTAGCCCTATCAAGCTCAGATCTGGTTACGAATTCGTCCTGAGGCAGAGGAGAACGAAGACTAAAGAGGCATCCACATTCCTCCTTTCCTTTTTTGTCTGTATGTGTGTGTGAATACATGTGATTTTGTGTATTTGATTAGGATGTTGTCTTCTCTTGTTCTCGCACAGTGACGAGGTGTTTTGCCATTGTAAGGCTATTTAGTGCAGTGGAGGATGCAACAAAATGCTTCTATACTGTTTTCAATCCAAAACCAGTTGTTCATGGTTGACAATGTCACTTAATATTAGCTGCCACGATTTGTTGGAAAAAAGTGTAGAGTAGAGAAAGAAAGCGTCTTTCAGCTTTAGAGAACATTGGATTAATCCACAATGACTCTTCAAAAATCTTTTATGGAATGTTGAATTTACGTTTCGTGTAAGTATACTTTTAAAGGTGGAATAATTAACGCAACTTCCCCCATATCACGACTGTCCACTCCTTTCGTGGCCACTGAACATACTTGACGGTTGTATTATTCAAAGCCTAAAAGGTGTTGTGATTGGATTTTGTAGAAATGTAAGTAGAGGACGGCATTTGATCTCTTTCCTTTATCTTTTTCTCTATCTTTTCCCTCTTAGGCCTTGTAGCATGAGGCATGAGTTCGAGACAACGACTAGCTGTCGCCCAATTCACACATAACGGCTGTTCTGTGGGGAGAAGGTGTCACGAGTTTTGTTGTCGCAATGAGATCTCTGCTACAATGGTATGACCCTTGGCAGATAAGAGATTCCGCCTCTGTAGCGCAGGAGAGCAATGCCTTAGAAGAGGTCTGTGAGGGTTGTGAAGCTTCAGCCATCCTCTCAGGCAGTAATTGAGAAAATGCGCCACAATAAAGAGTCCTTTTCTTGCCATCGGGGAGGACGCACAACTTGTTGTCACCTCAAGGCAGTTAGTTGGGGCTAATCCGTTCGCCTTTTACCCCACATTCGATGTGGTTGAAAGCAATCCGTCGTTTGAATACGTCCAAATGCTCCCCAAATGTAAGAAGCATCTTCTTTCCACTCTCTCTTCTCAACACTTTCACATATTGCAGAGTAAGGGGAGAGGTGAAAGGAGCAGCCCTCACCATGGACCCATCGAGTAGAGATTTGTTAAGCATCAGCATTTATTATGTGTTTATAACAAAATACGCGTCAGGTGGATGGACGAGGCGGCATTGCGTCGGGTGTCTTTCAGGGCGTCAGTCTCCTCCCGCCTCCTTTCTCCTCTCCAAGATTCACCTTCACCGAGGGAGGGCAGGCGAGTGGAGAGGCGTTGACTAAAATCTACCGAAAACGAGGAAACGCACAGTTCCATTTAATGCTTTGTGTTTTAAAAATACGCCTTTGGTTAAATCGTCATTAGCATCGGTGTCATCTTCCCATTAAAATTGGTCCAATGATGTATAAAAAGGTAAATTGAGGCCTTTTTTGAGACACTTAGACGACTACTTGGGTGTTCTCACACACCCATCGAATACCACCCACTTCATTCGAGTTTGGGAAGCAATTTAATAGCCCACAAACTCCATGCTCTGGAGATTTTAACAATTCATGACAGGCTTGACTTATTTTGAGCCATTAATTTTACCAAATCATTTTCTCATTTCAAAGTATTTAAAAATCTTCAATGTGCGTGAAGCAAAACGAAAGACATTTGAGCTTTGAAGCTCCTTTTAGAAAAGTTCAACACATCAATCAAATTTGTTTCTTTTTTGTTTTTTTGTTTCAAAAATCAGGTGCTCTTGCTTAAATCAAATAGAGGATTGATGAACTGAAAGGCGCCGCTGGTGCCTCCGCTTGTCGGCCACACAACGTTTGGGGTGTTGAGATTGAGTGGGAAGTGGGGCAAGTGAAATAGGGTAGAAAGTGTTAGCATGAAAGAGCATTCATGTTTCGTTCTCCATTTACCTACTCCCTAACCGTTAGTCCCACAAAGTGCCATAAAGGCAGGTTGGCTTTTCAACCGGCGCCTCCAGCCTCCCTCTGCGCACCGGAGACTTTATTGGTCGACATGCGGAGTCAAAAAAATTAGTTTAATTAGAGAAGATTTCGTATTATGCCCGCCTTCCACAAGTCCCCTAAATTTTGGTTGTACAAACCGACTTCAGCATTTACCGCTAACCACGGCAGTGGAAGCCGAAGTCACCGTTAAAGAAAGGGAATTAAAAACTAGTCTTAAATAATATTAAATTATGGAATTTGTCTTTATTTCCCTCAGAGTGTCCGATGACAACTTCGTCTTCGTTTGTTACCAAAATGATGCAATAATTACAACCTCCGTTATCCCCCTTCGGTAGTAGAGGCTTAAAACGATGCAAATAATGGACGATAGAAATTAAACATATTTTAAAAATTAGGTAATCGTATAACTTTTTCTCCAATGATGAAAATGGTTAGTTTAATCTTCGCCTCTGGGTGAGATGTAGTTGATAATTCGTGCCTTAATCTACAAGCAAAAGCTATTTTCAACCGTAGTCATGTCTCCTCCGAGGTGGTATGACAAAACCCACACTTCTGCAAGGTGTGATGGCTAACTTGACAGCTTTAAAGATGTGGGGCTTAATGTGATGATTAGAAATAGCTCTACACGAAACAGGGCGAAAATGAGCCTTTAAAATTCACCAAACATCAACAGTTTTATCCACAAATTGGAGTTACTTCAAAAGGGAAATTCGTATTGACACTTTCAAACAGTGGGAAAATCCGAGTCACAGATGGCTTAAGCAGAGCTCTGCACAAGTGCTGTGACTACTAGATTTCTGGTTCCTGAAGAGGCATTTAAGTAGTATGTTGCCTTTTTATGGTTGCCAAAAGTTGGTGCTCTCATCGCATAATATTATTTTAGTAAGAAGAGCAGCTTTACCAGGAAGAATTTCCTAAAGGACTTCCGACGGTTCTCGGCCCGATACTGCCAGTTTCAAAGCATCTGGTTTCGCCGACACCTAAAAATTTAGGGACTGCACTCAATTCACCCACCACCCTCTTCTCCTCTCAGTTGAAGATTGTGAGAAAATGGCAAAAACAACTTAGTCGACTAGTTTTTTTTCTCACATCATACGCATTCTCTAGCTTTCTTCTTGCAAAGAGCTGACGATTTTAACGCTCCATTCTTTTCAATTTCCTCAGAAAAAATCGGTCCAATTAGATTCTTGCCATCGTCATTTAAGCTGACCCAGCTCAAAAGAATAGAGTGTAAGATTATGTTCTCGAAATCGTGACTAGCCTCATTTTTATGCACTAAAAAGTAAAGAGCCAACTTGTTGGCAAATAAAATTCGCTTTCACAAGTATAGGCGTGGGGTCCGGCGTCTTCCATGGAGGCAAAAGTGGGGTCGCAAAGGCATGGAAGGGGTGCCGGGGCCACTGACACCGCCCGAAGGGTCGTGCTCACCTTGGAAGAGGTTCAATGACGCCGCCAAAAGGAAAGCAACTTATTTAACGCGCAAAACATCGCCATAAAAGACTAACTTACTTGTTGCTCATTAATACCATTGGAAGTGATTTTGGCATTTTCCCGCTGTCAAATGAGCGACAGCTTTGCTGACTTAAATTTGAAGGTAATGCTTTAGGTTAGGCAGAGAAAATGGCGCTTCGAAACACTTTTACAAGATTTTTATTGCATTTAGAGAAAAAACGTTGTTTAGGTGTTTAAAATAATGTGGCGGGCTTTTTGATGAAAACTTTTTCACAATAATTGGCGCAAGGCTTACAGAAACCTCCTATTTGTGATCAACTTAAAATCTGTTCTTTAGCAAATGGTTTTTAAAGCCAAAAAGTAATTGTTTTTCTTAAAGCTAAAAGTTCGTTAACATCTTCTAAAGTTCTTGCAACTTGTTAGTGTTGTGTGACGTCCAACCTTAAACACGCCTAATGGAAACTGAGTGTAAGTCCCACCCTTTGCTCGGCTAAGCAATTTTCATTTATAATCTTGTAAATGTGCCGACGGATTTTAAAAGCGTTTTTAATCATTACTGGTAAAAGGCCTGACAGGTCTTCAAAAGGGACTTACGAACTTCGAGGTCTCCGAGACCACTGGAGGTCGACTGAAGTTGGTGGACTTAAGTAGAGTTTGTCCACCTTACAACTCTTTTGCGTGAGAGGGAGTGGAGGGAAAGGCAGGTCTTGACAGCCTTTCTCTCCCTCTCTCCTTAAAACGCCGTTTCCATTCATCTTGCATTGCCTTTCTTGCTGGTCACAAAGAAGTGCACCTGACAATTGAATGGGAGGTGGCGGTTTTAGTGTCCTCGTGTCCTCGGTCTTGTGAAGTTGGGGGGGTAAAATTTTAAAAGGCCTTTGCATTTACCACCAAGATGGTGCTTTTTACTCCTCAACCATTTTAGCGTTCGTTATTTACTTTCACCTTATAACCGAAAAGTACTTAAAAAATCTCGTCTCCTCGTCGTAAAAGTTGCTCGCTGAGTTGTGTCGTGTGACAGCTCAGAGCTGCATTTGAGGCAACTACTTTGGCTCTTTCATCTTTTCACCACCTCGACCTCGGTAAATCACCAAGTCATCACGTGGGAAATGAAAGGGAGATGGAGACGGAGGTAAGTGAGGGCAAATTGACTGCACTAAACAGGTGAAATGATCAGATCCACGTCTCCATAAAGAAAGACTACTTTTAAAGAAAAAGAGTCATTTTGGGGGCTTTCACAAGGTCTGTGATACACTTTTGTTTTAAAAAACGTAAATGCTAGCGCATTTGGAAAGAATAAAGTTAACTTTTGAAAAAGTAGTTAAAATCGAACAGACCAAATTGGCTTCCCCACGGTGCCTCAGTCCCAACACAGAAGTGGAGTCTATTCGTGTGTCAGAAAGTCAACTCGTCAACTAATCCAGAGGATTTCCCTCCACAGGGTTTTATAAAATTCCCACGGATCTCAGCAGATTCACCAACATTTTAGCGGTTGCAAACATATCTACCTCTCTCGCACTTTTTACGCAAAATTTGGAAGTGGACTTATCTTGATGAGTAAATAAGAAAAAACAAACTTTACTTTCTGCGTGTTCTTTTTTTCTCT